TTGCGCATTCCAACCAAGTAATATCAAACTGCAGTTGGGTTGTTTTGATTAAGTAATAATAATAACTTAAATACAGGTAATTTACAAAATTAAAGTTAATTGAAAGTAAGTTTTTTTTTTACAAATTAAAAGTTGGTTTTATAGCAAAAGCAGATAACTCCACATTTCATGTTTTAGAGTTTAAAAAAGCACTGGTTTAATCTTTGTAATCTCCTCAGATGATAATGTAGACGCCTGACAAACGTTGTTGTCGTTGTGATTATAAACTGTATGGATGTGATTACACGCGATACACAGAGCTTTTCCCTCACCATTGTAACGCGCTGCTTTTGCGAGGTTCCGTGAAAACCTTTCAGCTTTTATTTTCCCTTTTCGCCCTGAAGATGATATCACAGGTTCATCAAGTTCGTCGAAACGATCCTCGATGCCGTTTATCGGTTTTTGCAAATGAACTCTTCATATTTTCTTCAAAGAAAATTTTATTACTGCAATGCTAAAAAAAATGCCAATAGAATAATGAATAAAATTCTTAATTGCATTATAATTGTGCATGCACATTAATACTTTTATAAACGTTTTTGTCACAGCATGTAAAGCGAACTCACAAAGAAAAAAACCTTCTTAAACATATAACACACAAATACATACTGTATATACTTAACCTCAAATCTTGATGGTTTCAAATATTTCTATCCATTTTTCAACTACTGCAGTTGAACTTTTTCACATGTAACAGGACCAGGACATTTCTTGGTGACATTCATCCAAAACGACAACAGCAATATACTTACCTAATATTCGACAAACGTCGTCACAGTTTTGATTGATTTCATGAAGCCAGCGTTTGACGTTCACGAACGACTCGGCGCTGGAGACGTCATAAACCACTATAACGCCGTGAGTGCCTCTATAGTACCTGAAAGAGACCACCACACACACACAACCACATCAGGGCTCTGAAGCTTTACTAATACAAAAATAAAACCACAATAAAAGGACAGACACGATGATGGACACAAGGACAGGTCTGTTTGTTTGTTTATAATTTAGCATCATTCCAACGGCTATATTCACTGTGAGAAATAAGTGAAAAACCAAGTAAATAAAAAACTATTTATACATGGTTTTTAACTCTTTCCCCGCCAGCATTTATTTTTTTTTAAAGTTGCCAGCCACCGCCAGCGATTTTCACTAAAATTTGATGGCGTCCAGTATATCTTGCTGTATGAATATTTGAATATGCAATACACCAAAATAAAGATCCACTCGTCAATGGCGGGGAAAGAGTTAAAGTGTAACACAAGGACAAGAAAACCTGCTTAAGGAACAAAACATTCAACTGTCGCTTTAAGACTTTAAAGAACCATTAAGCAATTTAATTAAATCAAATAAAAATGCTAAATTAAAATAAAATAATAAATTATTGTAAAAACAAAACCATTTAAAATAAAACACTAAAATATTTTATATAAATAATAATATATTTATTAGTTTACCTGCATGTCATGTGACCAAAATCACTTTTTTTTTAATTATTATTGAAACTTTTAACTTAAAATCTCTGAGAAACTTCAAGTAAATATTTTAGCTCAAAGGGGTTTGGCTGACAAAAAAAGTTTGGGATCTGATTTCAGAGATTAAACATCCAGATCCACACATTCAACCGTTTTCAGCAGGACTGGAACGCCCGGCATCCACTAAACTCCACATATTCTGTGTTTATTAAGTTTTAGATAATCTCATCATGCTCTCATTGACCCATAAGAATGTAGTTTAACACATTTAACACATTATACCTAGTGCTGGGCGGTATGACCAAAAATTTATATCACGGTATTTTTCAAAATTATACCGGTTTCACGGTACATGACGGTATTTTTTTTTCATGCATGACCGGGTGTTCACCATATTTTCTACTGATTGAGAGGAAATACTGCAGTATATTGACTTAGAATGCCCTATTTTACTATCATGATTTGTGGCGGTCAATGTGGATATTGTGGATGAGTTCTTCTGTGTCATCACGTTCTATTAGTTCTACAGCTTCAGTTTCTGAACTTTCACGCTTAGTAACACATACAGCTGTTCCCTCACCACAGTGCAACAGTGAAAAGTGACCCCTTTCAAACAGTGTCGCGTTCCCAACGTTGTTTAAACGACATACTTATATACATATTGTGGTATTTAAAAAATTCATATCATAACAAAAATAAACACCGGTATTCGGTATGAACCGGTATACCGCCCAGCACTAATTATACCATGTTTAAATCCACAGATTTCATCCTAAAATCAGCACTGAAAATGTGAAAAGGCCATCTAGACTCCAGCAACGAGCAATCAATTCTAAACGAGACTGGATTTGTGACCCGTGACTCTTTCACTTCCTGCGGCTGACATCACTGACAGGAAGTGGTTGTCTGAGGTGACTTTTCTCGAGGCACACATCATCAGTTCCTACGTCAAAACGTTCGTCTTCATGATTTGAGGATCACTCATGTTCAGAACACACAGCGTTAGCAGGTTTAAAGCGTGATTTTTTCCCCCATGAGTCATAACAGAGGCTGTTTCTGAGCTGAAATTCACTTATTCTAATAGGAGAGCGTATCACCAGCAAACGCCATCAACAGCAGCCTTTGTGAAGCTCAAGCTGGAACTCAGCCTTAAAATACAGGACAATATATGTATGATATAGAAATAAGTATAACTGGTGAGAGAGCCTCTTCTGCAGTGAACAGCAAAGCAAAGAACAAGAAAATAAAATTAAAATAAACAAGCAATTTGGTTTCATGAATTTGATTTAATTTATCTCGATTCGTTTGGAAATATGTCATGAACATGTCATTTTATAAAGTGTATAATATTATTTTAATAATAAATGTATAGCATTAAATGTATAAGATTGTGAATGTGATTTAAAAATATATATATATTCTATTTTGCTGTGCTTAATTGTAGGGCTTCACAATTTCACCAAAAAATTTGTTATTATTATATATCAATATAGCTACAAAATAATAGTAGTTACAAAAATATAGAAAATAAAAATAAACGGACAGAGAGTCTCTTCTGCAGTGAACACCAAAGCAAAGCTAAAAAATGTAATATAAATAAACAAAGAAATAAAAAATTTATTTTAATATTAATATTTAATATTATAATATTAGGTTAAAATTAACACAGTAAAAATTTTAATTTGCGATATATTGATAGATGTGATAATTAAAACTCAAAAACAAAAATTAAAACAACATTGATTGTGTGAATTTTGTGACAAAACTGACAGAATTTGAAAGATCTACTTTTTAACAAAAATAAAATACATTTTATTTAATTTTATTAAATTCAAAAAAAATTTAAATGTAATTATTGGATAAGGAGGATGCTACAAATAACGTTTAAAATCATTTTATTCGTGCATTAAACTAAAAAGCATAGGCTAAAAGATTAATCTTGAGATTCTGGTATCAGTAAAATAAACATTTTTAGTCTTCCACAAAAGCATGGGTTTGAATTTAATAACTACTCTTTAAAACCGCACTTCAAAGACTGATCAGATTTAAAGCTACAGTTTCCTTCAATCTTCACGCTCTCTGAGCACATGAAACACGTCTTGGAAAGCGTGAAGTCACCTCTCAGCACATTGAAACTGAATGCATGAAGTGTCTAAAGGAAAGTGGCTTTAACCTGCGGTTTCCTCCGTCTGAAAGAGGAAACAAGACACTTTAAAACCTGCTGTTTCATTCAGATATCACTCTCTAAACATATCACTTTTACCACTGCAACACGCCTCACTTTAAGACATATGTGACCCTGGAGCACAAAACCAGTCATAAGGGTCCATTTTTTTTTTATTGAGATTTATACATCATCTGAAATAATAAGCTTTCCATTGATGTATGGTTTGTTATGATCGGACAATATCTGGCTGAGATACAACTATTTGAAAATCTGGAATCTGAGGGTGCAAAAAAATCTAAATATTGAGAAAATCATCTTTAAAGTTGTTCAAATGAAGTTCTTAGCAATGCATATTACTAATCAAACATTAAGTTTTGATATATTTACGGTAGGAGATTTACAAAATATCTTCATGGAACATGATCTTTACTTAATATCCTAATGATTTTTGGCATAAAAGAAAAATCTATAATTTTGACCCATACAATGTATTGTTGTCTATTGCTACAAATATACCCCAGCGACTTAACACTGCTTTTGTGCTCATTCTTTATTTTAATTGTGTTCACATTCGCAGTAAGCCATACAGCAATTTCAGTTTTGTTTAGATTAATCATGTACCCTTCTCTGATCCGTCTACATTGTTCTAGCGCAGCATCCTAAAGGAGTAAGAATAGCATAAGTGTATAAACTGGAAGGCTCTACACAGGGACACTCGACTCACAACCGAGTCTGAGTTCAGTTCATTAGGACGCATGCAATGCTGCTCTCAAACCTGTCAGAAAGAAAGCATCCTAGATAGGAGGCAGCATCAGTGTAAAGCATCACTCACGTGGAGGTGATCGTCCGAAATCTCTCCTGTCCCGCTGTGCAGCGGATCTGATGCTGCTCGCCTCGCAGCCGCTCAAACAAACCCCGCCCACAACTCGTGATGACTTACTGCGCAGGCGCACAACACACAGCTGTACTTCAGCAGATCCTCCAGCAGGGGGAGCTAACGAGGCGTCACTTCAGTCACACCTCACATACTACATTAATTACTGTATTTATTAGGATAAACCCAGCTTAAATCAGTTATTAAAATGTGTGTGTGTGTGTGTGTGTGTGTGTGTCTGTATGTGTGTGTGTGTGTGTGTGTGTGTGTGTTGCAGTGTGTATCAGGTGGTGGTTGAAGAGGAGCGTCCGCGTCGTTCTCGGAGAGCCGCTGAGATCCTGCGTTGTTACCCGATTCCCATCCACTTCCAGAACGCGTCCGTGCTGAACTCTCAGTATTACTTCACCGCAGAGTTCCCAGCCGCTCGCATCCAGACGCCGCTGCCCTTCACCGTCGGAGACAACCGCACCTACGACAGCTACTGGAACCTTCCTCTGCTGCCACACAAGAGCTACAGCGTCTACTATCAGGCCGTCAGCACAGCCAACGGGGTGAGGACACACTAACACTCGCACAGCTTCAGATTCACTGTGTGATCGACAGACAGCATGCTCCTGATCACGGAGTAAAGCAGCAGCATCTGACGAATCACTCACTAACTCTCAACTTTAGCACTTTAGTGCTGGTAAACAAGAGTAACTATAATCATAAATATTATTTCAGCAGCTGTGATTGTCTCTGAAGGAGAAAAGCAGTCGTTATATGAGAGAAACTCAAGCAGGTAATTAGCAGCCAGTGAGCCGAGAATAATTTAAACGCTGCCCTTTACAACGAAACCAGACTACATTTTTTATTATTATTTATTGCAACGCACCCTTAAAGTGGAACTTTTTCTCACTCTGATGCACTTAATAGTCTTGCAATTAAAATGACAGCATATTTATATATTTTTATATCATTTATTATGTATATAAATAAGCAATATACAGTATATATATACATGCATACATACATACATACACATATATGTATGTATAGACTTATGTATATATAAAGACTTGAGACTCTTGTGATTAAAATAACAGCACAATTTTTTTATTTATATGTTTCATTTCAT